GCATTTGGAGACCATTGTGTGTGGCAGTTAAGACAATTCCACCTCAGTGATATGGTTGGCTGTTTTAGATCAATAACTTTTATATCAAGATGGGTTCGTTACTGTCTGAAGCGTCTAATTTAACGTTTAGAGGTGGTCTTAAACAGCCCATAAATGACGTGTTGCTGTTTGTATGCCAGAGGCCATGCAGGCCAAGGGATATTGTAAAATGAATACATTCTTTGCCAAGTGCAAGTGGTTGTCAATTTTCCAATTTGTTACAAGATTGGCTTAATATCCCTAGGAAATGGAAGACAACTGTTCCACAGGAAAGCCTTGCATTCCAATGAAATTACTCCCATATGGGTGTGCTATGGTGGCGCAGGGGTTAAGCACGACCCATGTATTCCTGGCCTGGTGACCTTTGCTGCAAGTCATTCCCCATTTCTCATTACCAACTTTCCTGTCAATTAACTATGAAATAAAGGCCAATAGAGGCAATAAAACCTTTAAAAAGAAATTGCTGCCATATTATCATTTCCAGACCTATCTGAACTATATATAATATTTTATTTTGATCTACTGCAAATGAACACTGAAAATTGTCAGCATACCTTCAACTGAAAGTCCGCCGGACGTCTAATGGTATTTCATTTTTAAGTCTGGAAAATGTTGTCAGCGGGCGTTAGGTGAACCTTCAAACACAACATTCAGCGGACGTCAATATTTAACGCATTTCCTTCAATTCCAGAGTTATGTAATATATTATGTTGATCATTAAACTTAATCCCAATGGAATACATTGAATTTGGTGGTTTTAATGTGAGAAACATTTTAATTTTGTCACAACTAAACTAGATGACGTGAGTTTTATCCTTTGTTATTTCAGATGGTCATCATGACCTGCTGCTGTTCACACAACATCAGCTGAGAAACAACTTCACAGGAAGACATAAACAGGAAGAGCGCTGCCTCCTATGGCTGATACCAGCACACAGGTCACGACTCAGTCTGAGAACTTCACCAGCAACTTCACCGGCAACAGCACTACATCTACAGCTGTGCAGGTAGCCACTGTGATGAAGTGGTTGACATTTGGCATCGGGTTGCCCGTTCTCGTCCTGGCACTTTACGCCCTCAAGCACCTCTCCAAAGGCTTGAAGAGATTTTTTTTTTAACTTTTATTATACAAGACTAAGTTGACATAATCCCACAAGATGATTACTTATGCAAAATATGTAACAGAAAGGACAAAAAACATTTTCTCTCAAATATCATTGGCTTTTGTTTTAAATTTTTATACATTTATTTTTAATACATGCATTTTTTTTTTATCCAGGCTCATGTTTAAAGTAGTCTGCTGTGCTCAGTTGAGCACTTAATAATGTAAGAATAAACATCAAGCCTGAAAACATAAAACTGTAACACACTGAATGTTCTCTCTGCTTGTTTTTTGGTGTTGAATCCTGATACTCTCATGGAACTGTTGTTAGTCAGTTGCTATGGCAATGCATCTGTGTGCAACATAGCTGACTCGGAGAACGAGAAAAAAGAAAACAAGTGGTTATGAGTTGTTCTTTAACAGTTTTTCTGGGTTATTGTCTCTCTGCTGTGGCGCACTGACCTGAATTAATAACACCAACATCTCCAGGTCTCGTTTTGTGTACAGAATGGTTCTACTGCAGCAGCGCCACTTTGGTTGACTTTGGTAAAAGAATTGCCTTCTTGTCCTCCAGCGTTCTGCACATGTGTGTAATTTCCAGATGTCAACAATAACATTGTTGGTTATTGTTGACACAATAACCACGAGGTTATTGTGTCAACAGGTAAATGCTGCAGCAGGTAAATGATGCAGCATTTACCTGTAGCATGTCTACAGGTAAATACTGAGAAACAACTTAACCATGGGTTAATGCATGGACTAATGTTCATGCATTATTGACATGTGTAGCAGCTCCCCAGCACTTGAATTAATTTGCGCGGTCTCAACGGGTGATTTTCAAGGTTTGTTTATTTTTCTTTGATATGGACCATCAGTCATCTCAATCATCTTGATTACCTCAGTTACCGTAATCCACCGTGAAAACTAAACAGATATACAAATATTAGAATATAAACTTACAACACAAACAACAAAATAAAACGTACCTCGCTGCTTTCACCGGGGAACGCTAAGTGTTGATAGTGCCAAGCACATCTCTGACAGTTTGTTCAAGTCATTCATTGGTACACTGATTTGCCAGCTTTTATAGGGCCTGCCCTCATTAGTTACAGTACATAACAAAAAAAAAAAACTTTACAAAGTGCAAATACAATTAAACAAAACAAAATACAAACCACCAACAGTCCTAATCAAAACAGACATATTATTAAACAATCTGCAACATTCTTCAAATAATTTACAATAAATAGTCTACAAATTTGAATAATTTAAGCAACTTAATTTAAATGGTTCACTATCCATTACAACATGTGAGTTGTCTCTGCTGCTCTGTTCAAAACTTTTTGTATTGATACGTTTCTCTGATTTGGTCTTGCGAATGAACTTGTGCCAGTTTGTTTGTCTCTGCGATGTGATGCCATGTTACCCTGCCTTAATGATAAGATAGAAGATGTGAAATCTTGAAATCGTGTTTTCAAAGAGTACATAATGTCATCCACCCCAACAAACCGACCAGGGGCTTTGGAAGAGAAATCGGCCCACAGCATCACAGGTTCTCCTCTATACTTTACGGTTGGATCAAGATCATTTACCACATGTCCATCTGTGACAGCTGACCCAACTGTCACACAGACCTGAATGGTGATCGTTTTTTTTGTTTATCCTTAACATTAGTTTAGATATTAATTAGTGAATAGTTTAGATTTCTATTTTTTAAATTATTTTCATTAGCCTGACTCTTTAGTTAACTATTTGCAGTGCACACATTTAGTTACATTTATTTGTCAGTTCTTTATATTTTTGTTAAATGCAACAAATTAACTTCTTTGTTTTGAGTTACCAGTTTCCTTTGGAGCTGCTGCTGGAGGGTCGCAGAAGAGCTCCAGCTAATTGACATCCTTATATGGCTGGCAAACCTCCTCAGCGGGTCATTCCATTTGTTTGCCGGGGGATGAGGAAATTTGGTTTTCTTT